GGATAAAGATAAACTTTAAAATATATAAAACAAGACTTTAAAGAGTCCTTGCAAGGCATATGAAGTCTGGTGAGGATCGCTCCATGTAGAAAGAATGAGCTGTGCTGTGAAGCTCGCAGATCTGAGGTAGAACCCCACTCTGGGCACCTGAGATCTGCCCTAGATCAACCGAGCATCCAGGTTACTACAGTGTTCTTCCCTAAGGGCAAAAGGTAGCAGATGGTCAAGAATAAGAGAAAAAAAACACTGAGAAATTTTATATGGTAAATGTAAATTTCAAAGAGCCCAATCCGTTCATTCTTTCCAATCATTTGCACTGAAGACCTTCAATGTGTGGAACACTATTCTGGGCACAGAGAACATCCTGAAGATTTTTTTTTTTTGGAGTTGGAGTCTCACTCCATTGCCCAGGCTGGAGTACAGTGGCACGCTCACAGCCACCCCAGCGTTGTCCTGCTGGGCTCCAGCAATCCTTCCACTTCAGCCTTCCAAGTAGCTGGAACTACAGGCACACGCTACCATGACCAGCTAAGTTTTTTTATTTTATTGTAGAGACAAGGTCTTGCCCAGTTGCCCCGGGCTGGTCTTGAACCCGCAGGCTCAGGCAATCCACTCACCTCAGCCTCCCAAAGCGCTGGAATTACAGGCTGAGCCACCAAGCCCAGCCATACCCTGAAGATGAAGCAGCAGCCTTTACGCCCCAAGAAACTCATGGTCAAGAGGGGCACAGACAAGAAACCAGCAGTAATAGCAGAGTGCCCAGTGCCATGCATGATCGGGGTGTGAAGATAGACATCAGGACCAGTCTTGGAGGTTAATAGAGGCCAAGCTGAGGGTTGGAGGATGAGTGTAGCTAGCCTGGTGAGGAGGGAAAAATAAGAAATCTATGCAGAAGAGACAGCATAAACAGACATTTGGAGGCCCAGGAGATCAAGACATGGTCAGAGGATTGCAGATCCCTGTGCTAAGGTGTGGCATGTCCAAAAGGCAGAGATGAGGGACAAGGTAAGATGCCCTTGTACTCAGTCAGGTGCTTGGATATTAATCATGTCAGGATTGAAAAGGTCACCTGAATCTCTTTGTCCTGGTTTTCTCATCTGCACCAAGGGTACCCACCTGCAGGGGTACATCTGACATAAAGCCACTCACAGTGGGAGCCCAGGAAGCAGCGCACCCCCCCCCCAGAGCTAAGCTCAGCAGGCCTTGCCACAGCCTCAGAACCAAGCCTCAACCCAGGTGGTAGACAACCACTAAGAAGATAAACCCACAGTCCCCAAGACTACCAGCTCAGATCCTAACCAAGTCACCCTGCACCCCAGCCATGGCTGCCCCTCACCAATGAGAGAGCCCTTCATCTTTCATGCCTCAGCCACCCCCCTTATCTGCCTGCAGGAAGACATCACAGGTGGCCAGACCTGTCCCTCCCCATCCAGTGACCCCTGTAGTCCTCCTCTGAAGAAGAGATGGGGGTTTTACCATTTGGAGGAAACCTCCAGGCCTTGTGTCAGCCTGTGCACGTACACACACAAGAGGGGACCCTAAAAAAATGAAATTATTTTTTGGAGGGCAGGCCCCTTGTTATACAGGCTTCTCCCATTAGGTAATGTTCTTGGAAACCATCGACTTCAGTGTACCAGCTAGCATTGTTGTGAGAGGCTGCATTCAACTTCAGTGAATTTTTTTTTAGATTCTTTTAGTGTGTTTGCCCTTTTAATGATGCATGATTTACAAGCACACCTGCCCACACTGTGCTGAGTGTTCAGCAGTTTGGGACCAAAAACAGAATGATCCCCATGTCCCACCCTCCTCATTCACCTGATCTCACCCCGAGCAACTTTTTTTGTTTCCCCAGATGAAAAAAGTCCTAAAAGGAAAACATTTTGCTCATGTGGAAGAAGTGAAACAAAAAACAGCAGAAGCACTAAAAGGCATCAATATTGAGGAGTTCAAAAACTGTTTTGAGCAGTGAGAAAAGCATCTCGATAGGTGTATCAAACAGAGAGTACTTTGAAGGTGACTGAAGTTTAAACATGTAAGAATAAATATACAACCTTTCATAAATAAATTCCAGGGGTTTTGGGCCCCCCCTCATATGTCTGTAACCCAGGTATACATCAAGGGTCAAAACATATTTCTATTTAGCTATCAATGCATGTGATCGCCACCCTTGGCTGTATCTCCTTCTAAGGAAGATCAAAAAGGTCTTCCTCTGCTGAACTCCCCTTAGTTGTAGAAAATCTTGGTATCAGGGGCAATTCAGAGGCGAAATTACTACTCAAAACGAAGAGCCAACACAAACAGCCTGCTCAGGCAGGATACCGACAGTTCTGGAAGAGCTTAGAGAAAGAAGGGGACAGTCACAGGGGCAGCCTTTGTGTGCAGGGAAGACTGAGAGAGAAGGACACGGGATAAGATGAGGCTTAAGAAGTTCAACTGTGACCAAGGATGTACTGCCCCAATGAACTCTATCCCTTGACTTTACTTTTTTGTTTTTTTAACTGTTGTTTCTATGCTGCTCTTTGACTGTAATGCCATGTAGGGACAGGATTCCATGGGTTCCCAGTCCTAATGCCAGCAGTGACTAAACGGTGGCTACTGTTATTCCCATCGCTCTGGGTGAGCATCTGTTTAGCCCTCTGGAGTACATGCTCCATACCCTTCCCTCTGCCTATCCAGGCAAAGTTCTCCAACCCTTTTGCCTCCCTCTGGTCTCTGCTCACATAGTTGTTATTGTAATACAACCCACGTGCACAAGCCAAAGGGTCTTATAGTCCAGCAGTCCCCAACCTTTTTGGCATCAGGGACTGGTTTCGTGGAAGACAATTTTTTCCACAAACAGGGTGGTAGGAGGTTGGTGGGTAGGGAATCATCAGGCATTAGATTCTCATAAGAAGCACACAGCCTAGAGCCCTCACATGCACAATTCACAAATAGGGTTCACGCTCCTATGAGAATCTAATGCCACAGTTGATCTGACAGAAAACGGAGCTTCACTTACCTGCTGCTCACCTCCTCCTGTGCAGCTTGGTTCCTAACAGGTCATGGACATGTACTAGTCTTTGGCCCAGGGGTTGAAGATTCCTGCTGTAGCCCAAACTCATTGGCCCATTCCAACTTCCTGGTGCAGGGGAAACAAGAATTGTAAAAGGGAGGGAGGAATTTTATATTATTTATGTTACAAGAAAAAAAGAGCTTACTTAATTCTTTAGATAATAAAATAAAGCCCTGGACTAAAATCTAGTAAATAACTAATAAATTACTAATAAAGAACTGTTAGCATCCTTTTAAAAAAAATCATGGCATTTCTCATCTTCAGCAAGGCATGCACATTTGGGGATCCATCCTCAATCAGTGGAAGAAACTCACGAGACACCAGGGCCCCAGATGGTGCCTTTGGGAATCCTCTTCTATCCTATGAAGCCTCCCGGCCAGGGACACTCATGCAGAACGTAGTAATTTGCAGCATCTCAGTGGGTCCCCCTCACATATTCTCATGGGGGTCCCAGACCTCAAAACACACATCTACCCATCATTGGTCAGGGTCACAGAGAATGTGGAGGGACAAAAGACAAAAAGACACACTTCAAAGCAGGAAAGAGAAGTCTCAACTATTCTACATACTAATGATAGAAATTACTTACTAATAAGAAGTATTAATAAGAATTCACAGTGGCTAAGTTTCTTCACTTCTAGACCTGGAGCTGATTTTTTCTGTAAAGGACTGGATGATAAACATTTCTGGCTTTGTGGGTCATGCAGTCACTGTCACAACTACTCAAGTCTGCCATTATAAGTTCAAAAGCAACAATGCATAAATGAATGAGCATGGTGGGGTTCCAATAAATTTATTTATAGACACTGACATTTGAATTCTTACAACTTTCACATTATGAAATCTTTTCTTTTGATTTTTTCCAACCAATTATAAATGTAGAAACATCCATAACACCCAGGGCATACAAAAACTGGGGATGGAGGACACCAACTAGTAAGAGTGGACAGACACCCTTTCAGCTCTGTCATTCTCAGAGTAGGTCCCACTAACCTGGCACCACCTTCCCTGAGGGAACGACTAAATTCTGGGCAGCAAAGAGCCCTCTCCGGAAAGTGGCTCTGGATAGTGTTGGCCCAGTTATAAACAGGTCCTACCTGATGCCACTGGAATCTGGGCAGCGTGATGTGGTGGGCAGAGAACGGATTCTGAGACAGATGCACACGGGTTCCAGGCACAGTTCAGCCACTAACTAGCTGAGCAGTCTTGGCCATGCCACTTCCTTCACGTGGCTGTTGTTAGGAGCAAATATGATAACACACAAAAAGCAATTGATACACCTCTGGTGTGTCATGTTTGTTTCTTTCCTCTGAGTCTAAGACTTTCATTTCCAGATTCTAAATATGGTACTTTTTTTAATCCTGAGAGGATATGACTTATTTGCTAAGTATTTTGGTCATTAAAGTCATATTTATAATTTAGTCACTTCATCTACACAAACAGGTAAATTCGATGCTATTTAAGGCTGGGGAGTGACCTGCCCAGAAAAATGGCAAGTTAAAGAGAAGAGTCCATCACAGTTAAAGGTGTGTGCTGGGAGTCTGCCCTCAATGTGTGGGAGAGCTGCTTTGGACATAAACAGATGTGTCTGTCTCTGAAGTTAGCATCTATATAATCACAAGGGGGTGGTTGAGCACAGCAGCTTCCCAGTGGTCACATGACCCTGGTCATATCAAGTAACCATTGTCACATCAGAGCCTACAGGAGTTATAAATACACCCATCGAGCCCCAACTGGATGACAATTGAGTAACAACAATAGAAATAGCCCACACTCCATAAGACCATCTTCTCATTCCTGAAGAACTTCTCTGAGAAGTTCTACATTGCAATGGAGAGACGGCCAGAGCCAGTGAGAGGAAAACTTCAAATCTTTCAGAAGATGGAGAAAGAGCCTCAAGTTAGAGCAGAGTCCCCAGTGCTTGAGTACCACGCTGCCTTGGTCACAGGAGACCTAGAGCATCTTAAGTCCCTCACGGACCAGTTCTTCCAGGATGTCAATGTGGTGTTTGAGATCAATAAGGATGAGATGGAATGGCAGGTGAAATCCCCAGCCACGTTTGGACTGTCAGGTACCCTTGCTCCTTTAAAGCAAAGTTGGTGACATTTAAGGGGCTACTAACACTCTCCCGGAACATAGACTGGGCATGTGGGCACTGTGTTTAACATATGCGAGGAAAGGACATTTGTAAATGAAGTTTGCACGGCAGTAGTTTTAAGATGTAGATTTTAGGGCCCCTCCCACTGTGGGAGCTTTTCTGTCCTCTCAGTAAATCCTGCTTTTAAAAAAAATGTAGGTTTTAGATGATGGGACGTGAAAGGTCAAATTGGAAAAGCAAACTGAAAGGCATGAACGCCCATCTGATGATGCTGGGCATGCCTCTTGTCTTTAAAGGGGAGTACTGGTTTGAGTTCTGATCTGCCCGTACCTGAACTTGGTAGTCAGGAAGGTGGGCACTTGAGGAGGAAAGTCTCTCCTTCAACTGCACCCAGAGTAGGCCCTTGGCGCCCAGTTCTGTGCGAGTTCCTTCTATGAATCTGTGGACACCATAACCATAGCAGGGTAACTGGGACACAGCCTGCATCCACAGAGGGAGGACCACAGGGCTCTTGGCAGATCGTCCTCCTGGAATCTAGGGAAACCTGAGAATAGGAAAAAAACACCAGAGGTCCTTACATCTTATAAGTCTGGGTGTACTCATGATGTTTGAATGTAGTCACTGTGGGCTGGGCAGGCAACCAGACTTCCCAAGAGGAAAGACGTCCCACCTGGAATGTACAGACAGTTGCTGACCACCAGGCTGCCTCCGGGGCTTTCTTAGCCAGTACTCTGCACTGGGCGCCCCATCCACCAGGAGGTCAGATTCAACATATTTACAAGAGGGTTCATGTGTAGGAAAATATAGCAGTTCTGCCAGACCATGGGGATTGAGAATCTGAGGTCAGTGGGCCAAAAGCCAGTGTCCCATGTCCCTGACTCATGAGTTCTCACAGGCAAAGAATGCGGACAGTCTGCTTCCAAAGAACCGACACAGTTGTTATACCTCACATGGGAAGAAGGGAATAGCCCAAAACACTGTCCAAGACCTAAGTAGTCCCTGACCACAGTGTAGTGGCAGGGGCTATAAGAAAGACTCCCGGCAGTTCCAGTCATGGCTGCACCTCCCAGCCCAGCCCTTTGGGGCCTCCTCTCCCTCATCTGTCCCAGACCAAAAATGCCAACTGCTTCAATGCTCAATCGATGTTCATTTTTAAAATAATCACATGCTACCCAGCCCTGGACACATGCTGAAATATCACAATTTCAAATAGATATTAATGTTAGCCCATCTTCTGGATCCAAAGTCTGGCTCCTTTTTTCCTCCTTAATCTCCCCACCCCTAAGTTCTGCTGCCTTCCTATTGCATACCTGCATGACAGGAAGTTAGAGCATGCCCACAGAGAAAGGATATAAGCTGGTACTGAAGAAATGGCAGCCTAGGCAATTAGTACCAGCCCAAGGCCTCCTTGCCAGTTGGGAAGAGAGGGAGGACTGTGTTCAGGGCTGCCTGGATTCCATGCTCTTTTGGCTCAGTCCCCTGACTCTCCTGCAGCAAGTCCAGCAGCAGAAATGACAGACCCTGTTTGAAAACAGCAGCCCCATATGCTCTGCCCTCTCTTGTATCGAGACTCTCCTGGTGACCAATTCCAGCTCCTCCTTGTAAGGGACCATGGAAAAGGAAGCATCCTGAGTACACCTAGCAGGTTCACATTGGCCAGGCACTGGGTGCCCCCTCTGGGATAAAATGCCAACCCATCCAGCCAACAGTCCAAGGAGAGCATTGGCATGGGGGGAGCTGAGGTTTACAGGGATGTACCACATGAAGATAACCCTTAATGCATGTCCTCCCTGGTGGCAGAGCAAGGACCAGGTGGTAGAAATCACAGGAAGGTGATTCAGGCTTTCCAACCGAGAGAGCTGCCTCAGAAGCTAGATTCTCTTGAAGGCCTGACAGAAGCTCTTCGGTATGTCCCAGGACTGAGATAGGTGCAGACCCCACGCTATGGTTGAGCTAGATACCCAGCCACAGTCCCTTCCCATTAGCCATAAGAAGACTCAGAAATCCAGATGAACAGAGCCTCTGGGGGAGGGTGGGGTTGGATTGGGAACTTAGCATGCCCTGGAGAACACAGTCAAGTAGACTTCATATCTCAGGAAAATGAACCGAATCAAAGAGCCAAAAGTTGGCCCCTGTGGAAATGTAGGTTACTGTTATATTATTAATGACTACATCCATCCTCCCTTCTCCAAGTCAGACCAGTCTTCACAGGGAAGGGCAGTCCAAACGCAAGCGGGTTCACGTCCCCAGGGCCTCTGGCCACCCGTCATGCCACACCAGGTCCCTACCTCCCCCACTGAGTGTGCAACACGCTCCAGGCTGGGCCTTTGGGACCCAAAGCAGGCTGGAACTCTGCACCACATGCAGGTAGGTAATTAGTGAATGGTCTTTCAAAACTGCTCAGCATGGGTCCCAGGAAGGAGGTGGCCTGTGAAAAGGGTCTCCTCTGCAGCTCATTACAGCCACAGTATCGATTCTTCCATCATTATCAGAAGGCCTTCCTGCCATGTGAAATCCTGCCCCTTGATGTGTATTCACCAGGGACCGCTTCCTCCATTTCCACCAGCGCTCCTGGCCGCTAACAACCTTCCACAGGCTTTTTGAAAGTGCCAAAGTTTTCAGAGAAGTAAAATGTATAACACCTGCTCCATTCATCCCTCAAGAAAGAGCAACCCTATACACACAGACACACACACACACAACCCTAAAAAGCGCAAAGAAACAAACCAGAATTGTGCTGAATGTGGACCGCCACATCAAAGTGCGCTTCTAAAATTCAGCCACTTCCAAGAGAGCTAAACTTTCTCTGAGTCCTTTTCTTGAGCAACCTTGGTGATGCGGGGGTCAGTTTGTTTTGTCTGTTGTCTCCTCTTAATGATAAAGGGGTACGTTTGGGGCTCAACCAAGAGAGGGCTGGATTGTGTAAAATTCCATAGACCACTTTGCTCCCTCAAGCTGTCCCTAATTCAGAGCCTGGAAAACATGAATTCGCTTAAATTCTCCTACTGTCCACCTGGCTTGGACAGCTTTTAATGGACCTAATTTCCCAGTCACCCCCCATAGTTGTTTCTCAATATCCCACAGCCCATCTCTCTCACTCAGGTTTTAGCCTCTTCAGTCCCTCCTTTTTATCTCTTTTCTCTCTGTGTCTCCGTCTGTCTCTTTCTCAATGTCTCTCTGTTCTGTCTCTGTGTGTCTCTGACCATCTATATACTCATGTATAATTCCCCTCATGCCCACCTGGTACCTACTTCTAAGAGAGAGTTTCCCCTCCTCTTTCGACTTTATCAGCCTCCGCCTTACACCTTACCGCCCTCGCCCGCAGGCCTCTGGACCCTGGAGTACAAGCGTGAGCTCACCACGCCCCTGTGCATCGCCGCGGCCCACGGCCACACCGGCTGCGTGCGACACCTGCTGGGCCGCGGCGCCGACCCCGACGCCAGCCCC